TAAACCGTGTAACAAGGGTACATTGGTTTCGATCACCGAAAAGTGGGAGTGTGAGACATGCAGCCTTGCACTGGAGGCCATGACATGTTTGGTTAGTTTTGGAACTGAGTAGCCGATGGCTTTGATGCACCTGCGCCACTGACTGCGCTATTGAGTCATGCCTACCAGTGTCATTAACCATTGGTTGGGGTCTCCAGACAGGCAGGCGGCGGTTGTCGACCCGACTAAGTTTACTGGTCGGTGTTTTCGTTTATCAGGTCATCCACTGTCCATCTTTTGGCCGCTTCCTCTCAGCACAGAACTGGGCGAAACGACCTCTGCAAGGTAGACGGTCTACTGGCATACAAAGTACATGTCCTAACTTGCGTAACCTACAAAGCGTGAGTAATTCATCGTTCATGGGAGGGTTCCTGAGATATCCGCTGAGATGTTTCTTTGAGGTGTCCATCCGATTGCTCAAGTCAACTATTTTTGAGCGAATTGCTGTTCCGTCTTTCCCGCTTATTGTGTCGCTGATAATTGCCTTCTTTTAACCGGTTGAAAGGGCCAACTGAAATAAGGCGCGGATGCAGCGACAGGCTTATAGATCTCATTGACCTACAAAACTCACCAGCGTTCTCTGTCATTCTTCAAGTTCTCAATTGTTCGGTGTTTTAGAGATCTGCTTGCGTCATCAGCAACAAGATCTGCCGGTCTTGACGATATCCATCGTTAATTTAGTAGAATCGGGTGGGCTGGACAGACAGTTCTGAAAGCCAAGAGCATAGTTCCTTCCACCCGCTTCCATTTGACCCCCAAGCACACTTCGTCATCCGCATGACTGTGTTTCCAGTGGCTTTTTAACCAAATCAGGTCGATACTCTTGAGCCGCTGAAAATTGTTGACGCTGATGTATGAAGTTGCTTTCTTTCCCCGCGCGCAGTGCCTTTGAAAAACGAAATGACAACCGGGCCTACATACTGGCATGATCGGAGTCAAGTTGCGTGCTCCAGAGGGAACGGTAATCTTGAATTCAGGCTCTCTTCATCGGTAACGGATAGCTTCATGGTCCAGTTGATTCCATGACTGTCTTGAAGTTGGTGGCCTCCAATTCACTCGATGTGAGGGCTTGTACTGGCAGTTCGTACTGGCTAGAAACAGACAATGGATGGCACGCAACTGAAGAACTCGTTCCGCATTATCTGTGCACTGAGCATCGATTCAAATTCAACCACTTAACTGTACCTCTTCTGGGCTTAGTTGCCGAACTTGGGCATTCATATCACCCACCAGGATTACTGTATCTCTTATTACTGAATGAAGTAGTTCTGACAGAATTTTATATAACCTGTTCTTCTCAGACTTGTGACCACTGTCCCCTAGAGGCGTAGGCTGCTGAGACGAATAAACTCCTTTTACCGCGTCGACTTGCTCTAATCATAAGTCAGAAAACTGCACAGTGCAAAGACGACTGTTTACTGGAATCCAGTCCAGCAAGGTGCCTTTGGGCTGAGTGCTGCTCCCAAACCGTATGTGTCACAAGCCATTGCGTCCCAATCACCAACTACCCAAAGAGTGAAATGTGGAACATTTCAGTTTGCCTCAAACGGCTTGAGGTGCACAACCGGAGTGGTTTCTTGTTTGCTTTTCCTGGAGATGCAGCGTACATCGACAGAGAGGGAAGTGAACTTTTGGCAAGAGATGCCTGTTTAGTCGAACAGTGGATCAATTCCTATGTCCTAAACGTTTCGATACCGATCCTTTTATGTAAGACTCGGCAGAAATTCGAGAGCATTCGTTTTGTACTTTCCTTGATTTCCTTAATTTCATTGCTCCTCGTTCACCAGATAAACTTGAAATCGTGTTCAATTGCGTTTCTCCTAGTGTTTGCCGTTTCATCAAGACTGTAAGGATTATAAATCAGCAATTGTAACCCTGCGAGAAATTTATATACAACCGATAAATGAAATATTCGCCCGGCATCTTTTGAACACACGTAAGTAAGACGGAGATCAACAACTTGGTCAAGTTGTGCAAAAGCTTCGCAATTTTTTGCCAGGTTGTCTCTTTACGGTTGTTCGTGCAGAACAACATAGTAATGATGCATTACGAGACGTGTTTATTGGTGGTCTTTATTCGAACAGCATTTGTCAGAGGGCGAGATGGCCCAAGTGGTAAGAGAGCGAATTTACTCACCGGAAAGACCGAGGTTCGATTCCCACCTCCGTCTCTCAACTTCCCCTCTCTAGACTTGGGCAACCTGGCAGTATCCTAGCTTTCGTGCTTCCTTCGGGTAACATGGCAGCTAGGCACCGGAAGAGTGCTACAGCTGAACGCTTTTGTCAGAGTTTATTGGAACGTAAGCCGCCTACGATCGTGCAAAATCCATCGAATTAGCACAAGAAAAGTCACTGTCCTCTTTGTTTCACAATCAACTTCCTTGTTCCCAGGGGGCGAGATGGACTAAGTGGTTAGAGCGCGAATTTACTGGCGGGAAGGTTCGTGCTTCGAACCCGACCTCTGCCACTCGACTTCCCCCATCTAGGCTTGGGCGATCTGGCAGTATCCCAGCCCTCGTGCCTCAGTGTGGCATGGCAGCTAGGCCCTGAAAGGGTGCTACAGCTGGACGATTTTTTCGTTCCCTGTATCGAGCAACCCACAAGGTCGCCACGTCCTCAAGCATCATCGCATGAACAGGTGGCTGTTCGCAGTATGTATTTTTCATGTTTCTTCTGTGGCTATACTCGTCACTTGCACTACACATACTCCGCTAAAGACACGACCTGCAAAAGTTGTGTAAAGAAAAGGCATTTTCAAAAAGTGCGAAGATCTTCTGGAGATGAGGTAGCTCAATGGTTAAAGCGCGAATTTAATGGCCGGAAGGCCTGTGGTTCGAACCCGACCTATGTTTCTTGGCTTCCTCTTTCTAGGCTTGGGAACCTGGTAGTATCTCAGCCCTCGTGCTTCCTTTGGTTGGAATGGTAGCTAGACACCGAGGGGCTGAACGATTTTTTATTCTTATTTTATGCATATCTACTGGTCTGGGGAACACCTCATCTGCTTTATATGCTCTATCTGACAGCTCCGGAGTGTCTCAACAGAGCAGTCACCGATGTGAAAGCCAATGGCGTTCTGCTTTGAGCTCTTGTTAATACTCTTGTTAATAGTTCGGAAAGTTCATTTCTGAAAATTTAGTCCGTCAAAATCAGTGGCCTATACTAGCATCTTCGTCTGAGATCACTTTGGCATCCATCGAGCACAAAAACTTCACTCTTGGAAACTGTATTTTAACATTGAAACATAAACAGATCATTTCAGTATTGCGTGATCCCTGTGTCAATATTCTACTTGGAAGTGATTTTCCTAAACTTCACATACTTCTAAACATCTTCAACAGTGGTGAACCTTCTTTCTCGCTTTGTCGTCTAAACGCCGCCAAACTAGAATTAGCATATTTGCGCATCTTGATCTAGGGTGCAGCCGCCTTGCCATAAGGCAGACAGTGAAGTTTTCATTGAGTCTGAAGTAAGGCATTTCCTCGATCAACAAATGATTGGACTTTCAAATTGTCCATGGAGAGCGCAAGTGCTCTTCGCGAAGAATGCGCGACAGAAGAAACGAGTGGCTGCTGACTACAGTCTAACTACAGACCAATTTGCGCAACTGGACACTTATCTCCCCCTAGAGTTGAGGATGTTGGTCGTAAGGTAGCCCAGTACCGTATTTTCAGCACGCTTGATCGTGAAATTGCGTATCATTAACTACTCATCAAGGAAAGTGACAGTATCTACATGATTTTTGAGGCCTGTACCAATTTGTATCAATTTTGCCGAATACCGTTTGAAGTAACGAATGAAGTAGCATGTTTTCAAAGGGTTATGGATAACATAATACACGCTGAAAAATTACCGGGACATATGCCTATGTGGATAATATCATCATTTGTGAAAGGACCAAGAACAACACAGTCGAAATCTCCAGTATTCTCTCGCCCTAGCACAAAACGATGGCCTTCAGTTAACTCACGATTAGAGCATAATTTCCACCAATAAACTCAGACTCCTTGTTTATGGGATTATGGAAGGTATTAAAACAGACCGTGAACGTTTTAGAGTCTTGCAAGAGCTACCTATTCCAAAGGACATGATATCTAAGTAACGTGCGTTGGATTTTTCGCGTACTATTCTCGCTGGACAAGTTATTTCTCTGACGAAATCTACCTAGTCACTCTTATTAATCAATCTTGCTAATACTATCTTTCCCGTCCCTAAGTATGTTATAAAAGCGTTTGATTGTCTCAAAAAAGAGTCGATGGATGCAGTTGTGGTTACGGTCGATCAGAGCGTACCGCTGATACGCGAAACTGATGCATCTGAAGTTGCAATTTCATCGTCATTGTCAGCTGTAAGAACCGTGTATTTGTCATATAGTGCTTATAGCTGCCGAAATTTTATCCACCGATGATTTGGGCAGGTGGGGTGAGTAGCTACGCTTTGGAGGTGAGAGCTGAAGTCTCCCGTCGCACCGGAATGTTTATTTCTCGAGTAAATGTTTAGCGTCTGTTGCGAGAGTCGAGTAGTTCCAGGACGGGATTAGAAAGGAGACAGAATAGGAAGACGTAATGTACGCTTTAGTCGTCTAATAACTGTAGTACATGAGCTGAAAATAGAGTGAGAATCACGAGTTAATGGGTTATGCAAAGGTATGGGTTGTATAGTCATGACAGCGTCTCAGTTCTTTCTGCATGGGCTGTGGTAAGTTCCCAGGCGTGAGAATCAGAGTTAATGGGTTATGCAAAGGTATGGGTTGTATAGTCATGACAGCGTCTCAGTTCTTTCTGCATGGGCTGTGGTAAGTTCCCAGGCGTAGGTGGCTCTGTCCCGAAGGGATAACGCTGTGCTTGCACATAGGCGTTAGCGCGAACACTGATATTCATGTCCGACAGTGGTACCACAAACATCATTCTCCGAAAAATTAATTTATTTAGACAGGCTTTTCATAGTCTTTTATCCTTATCTTCTTTGCTTCAGGAATTTTCCATGGGGACATGCTTTCAGCATGAGCTCACAAAGGTTCGACTTGCGACACAAGGGTCGTTATGTGGCAATCTCGGCCGAGGGTACCATGGCACGCAGACAGTCGGGGTTCTGTGATGGTTTGGCAGTGTCTGAGCGACACATTCGACCTGGCGAGCTTGTTGTGGTTGAAATTCTCGAGACTCAGCCAGGATGGAGCGGTGACTTGCGTATTGGGTTTACCCTACTCCCTGATCAACTACTCCAACCACTTCCAAGGTCATTTTGGAAATTAAAGTGTTGTTGCCCAGTAATATAACCCTCTGAGCTTTCGCTCACTGCTTACTCTATAGATTTTCGCTTACTGTATTAGTGGGTTGGCTGAATTTCCTTCTCCATCTGAATCAAACAAGTGCGTTACGTTTGTTTTAGTTTTTCAGCAACGGAAATCACGGGCCATGTGAATCTCAGGGTTACATAATGTTTACCGAGAGAGAACAGAAAATAGGGAGAAGTGATGTTGAATTGGAGGTACACGGGTTAGTGTTTCACGGAATCAGTTGAGCGTCGCTAATGTCAGACAAGTTTGCAGGCCCAGGTTTTTCGCAGGCCGCTTCATGTTCAAATTTGTGATGTTTTATGCTAAGTCACTGTATATATAGTTGGTTTGGAGAGTAGTAAATATCTGTTTCAAACTGCTCCAATGATAGAACTACTTGTAATTTTTCACTCAAGCTTTACCGACGTACCCTATAATGTCGCATCGGTTGTTTCCTATCGTACTGTTCGCCTATTACCTTCATCTTTATTTCTCCCAGTTTCGCCATCCCAGAACTGGTTTCACGTGGCCAAAGTTGGATCTTCCCAGTTGGTACTGCTGCGGCTTTCCTCGTGTCCCATCGTCATCGGTCATACTGGAGACGGCAGCAAAAAATGTGTCGATCTGTCCGTCACTTGGACAGCACTATAACCGGTGACACCTGCGGTGTGGAACACGATACAGATTTCTCGTTTGGCTCGTCGAATGTGCCCCCTTTCCTACCCGACCACAATCCGATTCAGCCAAGTTTCAAAGCACCCTGTATGTGCTGTCTCCACACCGGGTTTGGACGTGTTGCATTCAGTCGACTCATGCCCATCGAAGCTTCGTTGGCACGTGCACCGGACGTGGAAAAGGGTAGTGTCGTGGGTGTCTACTATGAATTGGAACCGATTACGTCACCCGACTCCTGTGCGACCACCACTGCAACATTCAGTTGGAATGTTGATCCGGAATCGGTGCCAACAGAATCGGAACAACCCGAAGAATCGCCTTCACAACCCAACCAGCCCGCTGATTCAGACAACGGGACGCTTTGTTGCCGGTTCCGATTCCATATTGTCATCAATGGTATCGATCTTCTTATGCTTGCGGTGAGTGCCGTCACAGGTGTTGTTTGTTAGGCAAAGGTGTTGCAACCACGGTTGGAGGTTGTCGTATCCATCGCACATCGTTTCTCACAGGAGCGTGAATTTTTTAGAAGACGGTTTTCCCTTACTTTTTTCATTTCAGTAGTAAGAGCTTGAGACCCAAAAGGTCCATGATTCGAATCCAACCTCGGACTGTCGACTAATCCTATCTAAATGTGAGCAGTATCCCAGACCTCATACTTCTTTTGGGTGTCATGGCAGATCGATTACAGAAGGGTGCTGAAGCCGAATGATCTATATTGGTATTATTAATTTCAAGCAAGCTGACAATACATCACTCTCTCAAGCAATCCCTACTTCAGCGCTCGTGTGGCACCTTAGCTTCCTTGCTTCTTGCGAGATGTACTACAGAGAGGTCGCATGGGGGAATCATTATTCCTCCCCTCCTGTTTCGAAGTTTGGCTTATTTCATCAGCTGTTTGACGCCGAACCACCTAATGACTATTTGGTTGTGTTGAGCCTGTTAGTTTATCACTTCCATCATTTCATAGAACTCTGCCGTATCCTCAAAAGATATCGAAATGGGATTATGTTTCTTCATGGGAGGGTTGGTTGATAAGGACTGGATCAACTGGTGCCCTTGTTGCGGATATGAATTGTTTGTCGTGTCCACAAAGTGTACCCCCGCAGTTGGATTAGGAACCGTTTTCGTGGCCGAAGGAGCTTTTTTGCAGCATCTCGTCGTCAGGCTAGGTAGGCGAGTCTTAGTCAATCGATATTTAAACAGTCAGATAGTCACAAAGACAAATCAAATGCTGCGAGAGTGTGAGACATGTGACTAAAAGTAAGATGGAGTTTTGGATTACCTGGGGTCAAGTCGAGAACCAGAGTCACTGGCATGGATCGATGGTTTTTCTGATGTCAATTGAATTCGAACACCTGGACGTGGTATACAAGGCTATTCAATCAAACTTGAACGTGAGTTCTGGTTGCCACGGCTTCCAAGGTGTTAAACATTTTGATTGTGGTTCTCTCCGGTAGCTTCAAATTGGTTTCCTGAATACATCGATTGGTGTCATTGCGTTAACTCGATAACTTGTGTCTACAACGTTTGTGAATGCGATTCATTTTTTACAACTGCCTCGACCAATCAGGAACCTGTATATTCAGAAACGCATTCAAACAACGTTATCGTCATCTGACCGATGTAGCGGGCGAGTTGGTAAACACAAAGATGCTCGATCTCCTATTTATTGTCTCAGACGATTGGTGAAGGCGAGTTTCAGATGCGTGTGTGTGTGTGACTCGCACCTGACGAACCATCTGTGCTGCTGGTAGAGATATCTTGAAGTAGGACTCAGGCTATTTTCATAAAGCAAACTACTGACAAGGTTGCTGGCAGCCCACGACCGGTTTCGCCCTTCTTGAGCTCATCAGGTAGGCGCGGTTCCCGAGTTCCCACCAACCTTATGTTCCACTTGAACCCAAATTGGACTGTTTTCGAAAAATACGCTCATTTGAGAATCATTATGGACTCAGGGTAGTTATTACTTGCAGATGCGTCAAACAGAAATTTAGTCACTCCTGGCAGTGTACTGTCTGCACCGGTAGGGATTTGTCCTGTTCACGTTGGCTTTCCGTAAATACTTGTGCTGCGATGATCTCCCCTGTGGCAGTGCATCTAGACATAACACTTGGTCATCACGCTCGATTTCATCTGTGGGTCTGAAGGCTAGTAGTAAATGCCTTGACGGTAGTTATTTTGACCCAGTTTCCATCGTCAATGTATCTGAGTTAGGGATACAATGTCCATATCCCATTTTCTAGCTTGAGCATAGAAATGACTGCCTTGTCACGCCGGCCATAACACTCGTCGTTGAATATAGACTGTGAATGTAGAAAGAGCTCTTCAAGCTTGGCTATCGGAAGGCTTATTTGCAAGATAAATTGTGTCACAGTTGGTGAGCATAACTGGACGATATGCAGGTACCTAATGAAAGCATAGATTTTTTCAATAGATGTTGGTCTGGAATGAAGTCAGAAGTGAAAGCCCGAGCAGGGCCAGTCAGGTAGCCTGTTTCAACGATATATTTTGTATCCCATGATATCCTGTTTGGTCTGGCAGCCAGTGGCGTGGGCTCTGTTGTGAGACCCGTAGCAACTGGTCTGGAGCATAGTCCGAGATCCTTTGGGAACGGCGCCCATCACTTCTGTGATATAGATGTCACCGTAACAGCAGGCTAACATATACATGCGAGCAGAACGATCAGTCAAACTCTGGGCCACCAAGCTTGCCCTGTTCGTCATCATCATCATCATCACTGTCAGCTGTAATAACCGCGTACTGGTCATACAATGGTTGTAGCTGCCTCAGTTTCGTTCACCGATGATTGGGGGAGCTGGGGTAGGTAGCTGCGCATCGGAGGCGGGAGCTGATAAATTGGTGCGTAAATACAGCGCTGTAGGTGGACTGTGGGGATCGGAAAAGGAGCTATGGATTGAGGGCAATAGCTTGGACACATGAGCACCGTTGAGGNTAAGTTGGGGGACTGGGGAAGGGAGCTATGCATTGAAGGCAATAGCTTGGATGCATGAGCGCCATTGAGGGCGCGACTGGGCCATGTCTGCCAATGTTTACAGCCATTTATGTGGCCCGTCTCGGGGTACCCATCCAGGAAGACGGCAATGCCCAGCGCAGCTGAGTTTGCTGGTAATGGCTTTTGTACTTCGCTGTCAAGTCATTGTTTGACCGCCTGGCTCTGTTCCACCCTTCACGTAATAGTGCCCTGTTGATGCCTTCGCCGTAACCTAACCGAAATCTGAAACTGCTAGTTTTCTACGAAACGATGTTGATAAGAGAGCAGCTGTGCAAAATGTGTGCACATCTACTGTCTCTTTAAGCTGCTGACTATCCTGGGACTGAATCTTACTTCCTCATGTCATCGATCTACCGTGCCGAATTCAGAGATGTGGTCAGCCTTTGACTTGGAATGGGGAAAGCAAATACGAAAAGTCTGGGTGCTATGAATGCGACTAACCTCCCACGATGGGGTCCGCGTGGTCCTCACTGTTCGTGGTCGGAGACGCTTCAAGATGTCGCTGATAATCAATTTCAGTGGCGTTCTTGTTGTCAGTTTCTATCCAGGTTGCCTAGCTGAGTGTCGTGAGGTGTCGTGAGGAATGATTTTGCTAGACTGGCGCTAGGTCCCTTCTCCGTCCGATGAATTATCGTAGAGCCTTATTGTTGTGAGATAGGGCAAGATGGGGGGCGAGATGGTCCAAGTGGCTAGAGCGCGAATTTACTGACCGGAAAGTCCGTGCTTCGAACCCGACTTCTGCCTCTCGACTTTCCCTGTCTAGGCTTGGTCAACATGGCAGTATCCCAGCCCCAGTGCTTCCTTTGGGTAGCATGGCAGTTAGGCCCCGGAAGGGTGCCGATGAATTATGTTTATACAATGACGGAACATCATTGTTGTACACTGTTGCTACGCTTTTGATGATACTGACTCTTTAACTCGTCGTTTTTATATCTGTTACGGGTAAATATTGCTTGTTTTCCGAAACTTTAAATCTCGCAGCTCTGACCGTTCGTGCACAAGTCTGGGAATCGAGCTCAGCTAATGAACATGATTGCGATGAGGGGAATAGTACATATCGAGAAATAAGCATGAGCTGAAATCTGATTCGTGTAACTCGGGGAAGTGAGAATGTGTGTCAGTATGTTTCACTCGTTCGAATCGGTCTTCATTGGACCGGTGGTCTTCTGCAATGCTTTCGAATTCAGCGATTGATTGCTTATCCACTCTTGTCATATCATCTTTTCCGGGAATATAGCAACATCAGACAAGGGGATGTCCTTGTTGAAACTGCATCCCTCATGCTTTTATGAGTGATTTTTCGTGTCCTCCGGGACGACACCCTGTATGGCCACTTTCAATTAGGCGTACTACTGTAACATTGTGAAAACTATACTAACTATAACTATCGTTCAGCTGTAGCACTTTTCCGGTGTCTATCTGTCATGCCACCCGAAGGTTGCACGAAGACTGGGATACCGCCAGGTTACCCAAGCCTAGACAGGGGAAGTCGAGAGGCAGAGGTCGGGTTCGAACCACGGACCTTTTAATCAGTAAACTCGCGCACTAACCACTTGAGCCATCTCGCCCCCATTGTGAAAACTACGTAGTGGTCATCATCACATATCGTAATGTATATCATCTTGCCAAATCGGAACAATAATAACAAGTATACTAGCATAACGGTGCGAAAATTGATTATTTTTTGGGAAATTGAATCATCTTGCGTCTCACCATCCTATGTTTCAGCCTCCTTACAAGCAATTGTTATAAGACGTACAACTGTAAGCATATTCCCGAGGACATCCAAGGTCGGTCCGCCTTTTCGACGGAGGATTATGTTGCGGGAAACTCAGTACAACCGACGCTGTCTCCCAGAAGGGTTTCCCTCCATCTTCTTTGTTTGATGTGAAACAAACAAACCTAGTAGTTTGACTTGTCGGTTTTGTGTTCTCTTACCTAGCTGTTGGGGCAGTGTGTAAACCATGTACTGTTAAACTATGTGGATGTATGTGTGTGTGTGTGTGCGCGATTGCAGTTTGTCAACTATGCACTGCCTCGAATGGCGACAGAATGTTTGGTAAACCACTTGCAAAATCACCTGAACTACTAATCTGCAACATCTCTAGCCCCCACTAGTACTACAACGACCTACGCTGCGTTACTAGCCAGACCCGGTGTTTCTTAGAAGCAAGTCATGGAATCAAATCTATAGGTTTTCCTTTTTTTGTGCAGTACAGATAAATCACAAAATGACATCGTTATTAACAAAAGTTATGCAGTGAAATTTGGCTACAGTGACCGGAATTGGTTGCTGCAGAGAGGTAGATGTAGTTGAGGGTGGTACATTCTCCGGCTAGCTGTAAATTCAAATGTTCAACACTGCAATTAGTTGCCCAGATATGCCACCCTATCTGTAACATATCGACGCGACTGTAAATGGTGTTTACAAGCCACCATTTCCACTACAACCGACTTTTTCGAAGTTGTACTAGAGAGGGACAGACCAGAAGTAGTCACTGTAGAGGAGTGTCTGCAGGAGAGGGGTTACACTGTACGGTCGAATCACCCGTTAACACCAAATTTGTTTGAGAATGAGTGCATTTCGTGGACCCTCTCTAACTAACAGGAGTATCCAATACCGACTAACCCGCATCGTGCATTCTTCCAAATTTTTGTAGGAACAGCTGTGTGTTCGTCCGGATCAACTATGTCAAACTCAGTCATCCTCCGATCAAGAACAATTGATGAATACTTCGTCTGATGGTTGTGACACGCTTCGCTATCCAAAGTTTCGCGCCGTGTTTGATGTGTATGGACAAACAAAAGCGGTACAATTACTTCGAGTGAACCAAGTGAGTTCGATTATTCGGTTGGACAATGAGCTCCTTAATCAGCCTGAGATCAGTTAGAACAACGCCCGTTTGCATCTTGTCTTTTGCCCTAGTTAGAATCTCAGTTGAACCAATTTTCGATCATTTTTGAGCAACTCAGTTCGCTTTTCGGCTGGTTAGATATTAAAATATTAATAATTATTAATGGATAATTAATTATTAATTATTATTTATTATTATTATTATTAATTATTAATTAATTATTAATGGATATTAATGTTTTCGGGAATGCTACTGCAAGCTGATAGTACAGTGCTTCCTCCTCGAGGAACTACTTTCGACAAATGCCAGAAAACCTTCTCGGCAAGTATCTCTTCACGAGAGAAGATGCAAAAATATATCATCGCCCTTACCTTTCTAATCGCATAGCCTGAATCTGGTTGTACGTGAGTGGTTTCAAAATTAAACCTGTATTTTTCTGAAAACATGAACGTTTGATTTCTTCTGGCTTTACTTTGTGGAATCCAAGCCCATTTTGCTGCAGTTGAGCGCGACTAACGTCAAAACCAAAATAGCAATATTGTGATAGGCTCCACCGCTTTTGTCAGACTTAATTAAGGACATGGATATCTTCATTAGTGTCGGGTTTCAGAGTAACGGAAAGTTTCCCAATTATTCTTCGTATGCCCACGGTGCACTTTTACGCCCCAGAATGCAGTGGATGACATCGATGCTTATCTGAAATGTATCCTTACGTATTCACGAACCAAACGGCTGGATAAAATTGCTCATTTGCAACAGGTACTGAAGCATCTACCTACCACTGTGTATCACACCTGCGTGCGGTGCACTGAGGTCGGTCAGTCCATTCCTTCGAACGCACAGCCCACTGAGTCACGAAAGTCATAGGCTAAGCCAAAGTTACCATCATACCAACATCGATCGCGGCTTGTGTTTGTCTCGTCAGGTGACCAAAACAACGTGTCACCTCTTTCTTCTATCGACAGAGCCAAGTCGTGTGTTCCAACAGGCGTGGTCGCGAATGACTTCACTGACTCTACTGAGCAGTAAACGGAGAAAATGCTCAGCTAAACCATTAATTACATGCAGTCCATGGTGTGTTCTGACGATCAGGGGCGACATGAACAGTTGAGTAAAATGATCGTTGTCAGTGGGATGTGCCCCTGTTCTTTGGAAATTACACAGTAGAGCACCTTCAGTCGTTGGGTTTTCGTATACTCTAAGATGGAATACGATGAGAGAAGTACTTGCGTGCCGCGAAGCTTGTTTCTTGAGAGACTTCTCCGTGGATCGATTACTGTCCTACCTTGAAATGCATGTAGGATTGTTTATCATTCAGCCATTCCTGGAATCAATCGACTTTGCATCACACAGACCTAATTCGTCAAAACCAACCAGTCGTGAAGATTTGCGTGTATTTTTGTGACACTGACCGCAGTAGTGATTCCCGGTCTGGTCCGTCCACCTAATCTCTTCCGTTGGTTTTAACACACCCGTAACCGCCTTTCAGATCATGATCATCATTCTGGTTGATAGCTGTGTAGCTTCACTGAAGCCTCCAAGGAAGCCTTGTAACGGGAAGAGGAAAATGGGAAGGCCTACGGTTAGCCTAACACAACCGTCCGAGATGCGTCCAACACGCAGTCGGACAATCTGAACAGAGACTGACAGCATGAACTCTCGTGACATCGATTAGTCGCTTTGTAGTTCAATGTCTCCAGCCAAGTACAGGGAGTGTCACGTGGACTCCATCCTGGAAGGTGAACAACATCCAAACTTTACGTAACATCGTTCATTCCCTTCTACCATATCAAATTCTGTCCACCACTCGGTTTTCACCACTCTGAATTAGGTATGGAAGGCGACGCTTCTGTCGGTAGACTGTAAGTTGGCATGCCTAGTGCATGACCGAATCATCGTAGCTTCCATTGCTGAATGCATTCCATGATGAAAGCACCTTCTGCGTCAAGAGTGAAGACCCGTTTCATGATCGACTCGTTGGAAATCCACCGATTTGAACCGATTCTAGCTTTGGTCAAAGACCTGAAGATATATGAGGTCCTACACCCAAAGTGGCCAAGGCTGGCAACCATACAACGATACAACCCATACTGCAGTCCGGTACCCAGTGAAATGCCTTTTTTAATATGGCGCACATTTCGGGATTTGAGATCGGCGCATTGACCTCGTCTGCCTCACTACCGTGAAAGCCAATGCAACTTCCGAGTACGTATAGTGCTCCACAACTTCCAGTTTATCTTCCTGAATTCTCAGAAGTCTGTTCAAAGACTGTATATCTAGACTGTACTTTATGGGGGCAAAGCACATCCCGAGGGACTGAATGACATTGTCAGCTTATCCAGTAATACTTTCACTTCTCAGTCCTTTTCGAAATTGAAAATGATGTCATCTGCATATTCCAGGTCGACATGGTCCTCGTTCGATGGGATCTGCCACTCGACTTCCCCTGTCTAGGCTTGGGCAACCTGGCAGTATCCCAGCCCTCGTGCTTCCTTCGGGTGGCATGACAGCTAGGCGCCGGAAGGGTGGCTACAGCTGACGCTTTCTTTCTGCTGCTGTGGATCTGTCTTTTAGACCGTGGAAAAAGTTCCAGCGTGTTCTTCATCCGTTAAAATAGTCCTTACATGTGTGTATGAAAAAAGGCGCTTCTGCTGGTCTACCTGTGGACCACCTAAAGCGAGGCAAGTACGACAATCCCCTGTGAAACAGGCCATCACGTTGAAAGGGGGTCTTAAGCGTTGGGATACATTTTTCTTCTAGGCTGGCTCCTTCCTGGGGGAATTATCTTGTCGGGAATGACTCTTTATTTAACCAATTATGTTCTCTTGCGCCATCTACAAGACTAAGCCAATCCATCTTCCCCAGTACTTAGGCCCATTACATGACATCGATCACCTTGTCTTTGTTTTTGTTTCCCCAGAATCCAGTGGCCCCCCTTAGCCGTCTCTGCTCATGTGTCATCTTACGGTGTATCCTACGCAGCCAGTACTTTGACTGGTTAGAAGAACCACAGAAAGGCTTAAAACCCGCAAAAGTATTCAAATCCACCGTTGACAGTGACTCAAGGGCGAAGGAGTTTTTTGCCGACCATCATACATCCAGATCGTCCGCGGAGAATGTGCGTACCCAGCAAGTGTTTGCTGCTTTGCAAAGTCTTCCGTTGCCGCGTTCCGACCGACACCGGCTTCATTTGGACGCGTGTGCTGTCCTTTCCCGCGAACATCAGGGTGTACTGACTGAAAGCTGATTCACTTTTTCCCCTGTCGAATTTGTTCGATCCATTGTATATCTACATGTACATACTTTCTGCTATTTCTCTTCAGTAGTAACTTCACTTGTACATAACTAATTTGTCACATAAAATCCTTCTTTGATAAGCGTTTGATTTTCGCACGTCCGTTTGTGCATCTCTGACCCGTTGATGTTCGCCACAGTTGGTTTAGTGTCCTTGACCCGACCACGAACACACGCCAGTTCATTCCGCGCCTAAGAGCACTTCAAGTTGTAGCTCTGCTTATAGTTAACTTATTCCTGTTCCCATCTATCTAAACAACATCCAGAAACAAAATGAACAACTGAATCATGAAGTGGCCTGTGTGCAGCACATTCAGCTGGAGGACATCATAAACGAGAGATTCAATTGAGTCTCCCGTGAAAACCAAATTGATTTGCAGATGAGTGTATTTCTCGAAAACAGTGCAATTTGGGTTCAAGTAGATCATATGGTTGACTGAAACTCGGGGACTGCGCCTACCTGATGAGCCCCAAGAAGGGCGAAACCGGTCGTGGGCTGTCGAAGAGGTTTTCAGCACCTTGTGAGTAGTTTCCTTTATGAAAATGAACAACTGATCAAAATCCTCTCTAAATTAATTTGACATACGTTGATATAAACAGCGACACTAAATGAGACCTCATCGGCTGTGGAATCAACTGGGAATTTATCAAAGTTATGGTGCACAGTCAGGATGCTTAATTTGGAAACGCTACGTATTGTGATCTATAAAAAACCCTCAACACACTGGTGTCTTTCGTATCCACCTATGTGTGGAGCAGGATTTTCGCATTCGACCCCATTATATAATTCATCAGCGTGTCGAAGCGATGTGAACTAGAGATTCACATGTGTTTTGAGTGAGTCTTTCGTTTATGGAGATAAACAATCGATCGAAGTTCCGGGACTACGCTTACCTGGTAGGCTCCAAACTGAGCGACAGTGAGTTTCCGACGAATCGTATCATACTACTTACACGTGGCGTCAGGTACTTGACGCATTCTGATAGGTGGGTTTAGCTAATCCAGAGCGTGTTGAGCGGCATAGTTGAAGACCGGGTAATAATCAATACGCGTGGTAATTTTTTCACTCGGCTTCGAATCCCCACATGGACTGCCGGCCCTCGTCCTTATGGCTTGCAAACGGAAGAACACTAATCAGAGCAGGTCGTAGCACAGGTAGACACGGCTACTTTAGCAGACTTGAATTGCTAGTGAGGTCATTCTCATTGGTTGAATGCATTTCGGCAGTCACTCGGATGGAATTTTGGCGCCCTCTAATCCTTTGAAGACTAATTCCCCCGCTTACACTTTGTTGTAATAATAATAAATAATCGTCCGGCTGTAACACCCTTTAGGTGCCTAGCTGCCAAGCACGAGGGTTGGGATACTGCCGGTCGACCAGGCCTAGACAGGGGAAGTCGAGTGGCAGAGGTCGGGTTCGAACCACGGACCTTCCGGTCAGTAAATTCACGCTCTGACCACTTGGGCCATCTCGCACACTTTGTTGTACAAATACTCAGTCATACAGACCCCTTTCGCCAAGCGGGTGACCTCAAAACAGTTGGACTTCCTATCAGGGGTCCAGTCAGTTTTGTTTCATTCTGGTCATCGACCCTCAAGTTTGGCTCTTGACGGTTGCAGACAGTGGGATAGTTTGACTTTTGTTCGCTCAACTCGTGTACACCTTCTTCCCCTTTTATGGTATATTTTCATGAGCCGCCCTCCGTAGGGTTTTTGGCTCCTCAGTTGTTCCGCGTCAAAGTTCTCATGTTCGTGCATTTTCGAAAAGCCTCAATGAAGCCCTCGTGGTCGTTTGAACGTCTCGTCTATCTTATTGGCCTTCAGCTTATCTCACTTGAAGAGTATGAAGAGTGAAGCGAAGGAAGGAAGCTCGTTGTTGATGGCCGATTCGGTCTGCATGCTGATCAGACAGGACATGAAAGCAACCACGGATAGTGCAGGTCGTCGCCGTTACTATTCAGAGATCTTGATCCTAGCAGATGTGACTGTCTGGGGTCTACTGACAGGGGCGAGATGGACCAAGTGGTTGGAGCGCGAATTTACTGACCGGGAGGTCCGTGGTTCGAACCCGACCCCTGCCACTCGACTTCCCCTATCTAAGCTTGGGCGACCTGGCAGTATCCAAGCCCTCGTGCCTCATTCATGTGGCATGGCAGCTAGGCACCGAGAGGATTCTACAGCTGGACGATTTTATTTTAGTTATACTGACAGATTTGCGACCGGTGCGTGGTATCACGGGATGGAGCATCCCGTCCATTCGGGCTCTGTCATCATTGGTACTCAGCCCCCACCGTCTGTATGAGTTACTTTACTGTTCTACTCTAGTAGTCGAAATGAAAAGGATGGTTAGCCAAAGAAAATCTTTCTCCTCGAAACTGGAGAGAAGGTTTGTCCAAAAAAGCAATTCCGCAAACGCATTTATTTGCTTACCGACTTGGTTTTCACCTGAATCCCAGCTAAGTCACTCATTTGTGATATTTTTTAATGGGAGGGCCGCCTTAGTTTTAAGTTCGTATGATATTCGATTTGTCGCAACCATAGATGTAACACATTACTCCTGAGTTTGCTGAAAACTCTTCAACAGCCCACGACTGGTTCCGGAGACCACGTCCACTTGATGAGCTCCAAGAAGGACGAAACGGGCAGTAGGCTGTCGAAGAGTTTTCAGCAACCTTATGAATAGTATGTTGTTTCTGTAAAATGTATTGCGCGATCTCAAATATCGTAGTTACTGTAACATGAGGCGGCCTGGTACGACACATTCAGTTAAAGAAGGAAATCCAAATATTTTGACATGAGGAGAACGTCTTTAGTACTCTCGAGCGGTTTCTCCTCCGGTAACTAACTATCCTTCCACATGTACCACTGTTTTATTTTCTATGGTTGGGCTCTAGTAAATTGAATTACAGGAACTGCGTGACACCCGGGAGTTCGTTACGCTATGAGGGGATGACAATTTCCAACCGGTATAACTTTCTACTGACATCTCAACATGAAGTCCCGTTTGCTTCGCTTCCAGCTTTGTGCTGGCTTGGACGTGTAAATGCAACTTTGCACTTAGTGGCGATTGTCCTGTGTGTGTGTGTGTGCGGATGAGTAGTCTACAGTAGCATCACGTGTGGGTGCCGTACACGACTGGCAATACTTGGCGGGATCAGCGAAACCAACTCTGGTTTCACAAACGGATTACTTATCCGGTAGTTGCTCACTAATTACACCTCTCTGCCTTGACCGTTGTTGCCCTCTTAAGGACTGAGTACACTGTACATCCCCCGTTCAATGCAGTTTTTGTCACATTTCAGCGATATTCCACCCAATAATGCCTTCTCATACGAAATCCCTGCGCCAAACTAACCGCAATTTGCGTGCACAGTTGGATGTGCTCAATGCCCAGCTTGTCCAGTTGCAGTCCGAACTCTCCGCCAGCCGTACAATGAGGTCGAAGATCGATAAAATCAGTTCCGAGGTCGTGGACTCTAATCCGTACAGTCGTCTGATGGCCCTACAGCGCATGGGAGTGGTGGAAAACTATGCGGCGTAAGCAAACTTGAGTGCGTGTCTGTCTGTGTTTCTTCCTTTTACTTTCGAGCGAACCCCGACCAAACGGCCGCTTGTTTTCTGGGATTTTCTAATCGGAAGTTTCTCTCATAACTTCGGGTCACTAACACATGTGGTTAGTGATTGCTCTATCCGTTTTTATCACTGAATTCCGTGATTCAATGGTCATATTCTTTTTTGTTCAGTCACGTCTTCCTCTCCTATAATCCTGGAGTTACGTGAGTTTGACAAGCTTGACATACACGCAGTGTCCGCTCCTCGCTACTGTGTGCAATGTTTCGCCAGCAATCTTCTAGGTGTTGCGCGGATTTCACGACAACATCGAAACATGCTGACCTGTTTTGCACGACTTAAACGGTAATAGTATTTGAGTTACAACCGTTATCGGACCGATTTCCCCGAAAAGATATCTTCAACCAATCCTGTGCTTAGTGGGGTTCACCAACGAAGCACGAAATAGCAAACACCTTAGCCACGTTGTCATCCACTGTTTCCTCGGACACTGAGGGAAACAGTGCCCAGACAGGAAAGCCGTCGTGACAAAGTAGCACATGCAAGAAGGCCTATGAAATGTTCTAGGATACCTGACTGTCCTCTTCCCTCTATCAAATTTAGGTGTACTTTCGGCAGGAAAGTGGAGCCATGAATGCACGATTTCAGCTCGAGAGCTAAAGTAGACGTTTTCTGCCAAGAGCGTACCACGCCTTGATTGCACGGCAGACAGTTCGCCCCCTATAGAATCATTTATTTGCTGTCAATGTAGTTGCTTCAACTTCGTTTGTCTCATCTAATCTGGCTAAAGTTCAGTGCCCGTTTCGAGGCCCCTTAGGCATCCGGCACACTGCGTGCAAAGCTGTCCATTGAGAAAGCAGTTATCTTCTCACTACTGTGAATGTAATAAGTAGTTGTAAATAAAACCACAAACGCTCGAGGGTACACCCTACCGGCAGCTCTCTAGTTCTTTTGCGTCCCATTGGGTTAGATCATTAGATGTTAGAGAAGGTATTTTTCTGGCCATATGAATCCGTTTTTTACTGGTTCAAGTATCACCCAATACCCCCAGCACTGTGTGATATCTGTCATTCGACCCTTTCGCTTTTTCCCACATCAGGATCCGAGAGAAGACGGTTGCCATAGTGGGTATCGGTGGTGTGGGATCAGTCACCGCTGAAATGTTGGTTCGGTGTGGTATTGGTCGTCTCATTCTGTTCGACTACGACAAGGTGGAAATGGCCAATATGAATAGGCTGTTCTTTCAGGTTAGTTTTGTGTGTGTATGTGTGTGTGTGTGTACGTGTGTCTATCTTCATTGTAAGAGATTTTGTTATTCGTTACTATACCAGTGAAAGGAAGAAGGCCTTTGCTGCGGAGTTATTTATTAGAAAACGCCAAGTGAACAGTTGCAGACTATAGGACGGAAGTAAAACTCTCAAATGCATCTCGTTCACAGAAATGGAATGTCCATTTTCTCATCGAACGCGTCTTCCTGAACTTTCCTGGATATTCTTGACTGTTGCTGAAATGCAAGCAAATGCGACTCCACAAATTCCGTAATAGGTCTCCTTTTTTCAAGAGACCCGAAGCGGATTTACGAGAAAAACGTACTACTCGCATACCCCCATCAGTAGTATCCACCGTCACACCATTATCAAGCCTGGCTTCTGAACGGGTCAGTAAGGTGAGCAAACGCATGAACTGGTTGAAAACCAATGGCAAATTAAAGAGAAGCGCCAGAGCGTATCGATCCTGGGTTCAAAAATACAAGTTAGATGGCATTCATCTTGTTGCCTTGCCAATGGCTGGTCGTGGCTGGAGCCTATCACTCAGAAGAATTATGAATGACCTGCGCAACTCCGGTTTCTGTCTGATAATTCTGAATCGACCTGAAGATGTTAAACACAATGAATTTCTGATCTGCGAATCAGTTCTCGCACAGTACCTCAGTGCCTTTGGAAAACCCCCATCAGTTTCTGTCCGAATCACACTAGAGTTTTATTTTGTCATGCCTGCCAGTATCGTTTTTTGAATTGTACACAGTATGCAGTTTTATTTCCCGACTCAGGGTACACTTATTTCTCAGATGCTTGCCAAGGTACAGTTTTATTTCCCGACTCAGGGCTGCGTAACACCCCCCAGTTTTCGGTACACTTATTTCTCAGATGCTTGCCAAGGAATGGGAGTTTCGGAACTACTGCTATAAATAGTAGGTTGCGGTTCTTCGGATGGTGTTTGAAATGTCCATTTTTAGTCACCGTTGTGTGAAAGTCGTTGAGCTTCTTCAGAACACAGTTCTGGATGAGCAACTGGGTTCTACAGTAGTGAATAGCCGATATTTTAACACTCACATTTTGCTGTCGTTGATGATGACTTTGGTGATGAGAGGACGGCTTTTGAATGCGTACCAAACTTTTCGTCTTATTGTTTCACCTGGATTTCCGATCATCTTAAAAGCTGTATACTGCCCCTCGTAACTTGTGCTGATATCCTGGAGCCGATCTTTTCAACCCTCACAGCCTCACCAATCCGGACTGAGCAAAGTGTCAGCTGCGGCGGCTACCCTAAGTTTCATCAACCCAGATGTAGACATTGAGGCACACAACTACAACATCACTCTACTGGAACACTACGAACACTTTCTCAGTCGAATTCAATATGGAGGTAAAGTTTCCGGACAACCGGTCGATTTGGTACTCAGCTGTGTGGACAACTTCGAGGCCCGAATGACCATCAACAAGGCGTGTAATGAATTGAATCAGGTAAGGAATCGAGATTATTCCAAGTGTGCGGGGCACGATCGGATCTGTTGCCCCAACCTAAGATAGATTGATAGCTTGTATTTAAGTTTTTTACACACACACTGGTTCACTTGGTATCGAACGATAACATTTCCCGGTAGACATCTTAAAATAAAATTATGAATTATGGCTTTCGAACCTTCGTCGCACTGTCTTTCGTGATTGATGTAGTTTCAGTTTGCGCTTTATCAGTCAATTTATCGGTCTTCTAACTCATTTATTGAAACGCTTTTTTTACTCGTTTGTGTAGGCTAAAAAAATCAATGTGAAAAATTCGCTTGTAGGGTACTGAACTTTATTGATGAGAGACCTTTAGGAATACCAGAATAATCTATTTAGTGGGAATGTAGATGAGCGTCTTCTATAAGGACTGCGATCTTCATCCAAAGCGCTGGAAGGATATAAAGATGCATTTTTGCACCGAAAGAGTTAAAAATAGACTCCTTCGCAGTTGTGTGTGTGTGTACTCTTGGCTCTAAGTGAACCTATTTCGCTCCGTTGTTTTCAACCTGTTTTGTGAAAGCCTCTCAATGAAGCCAAGGACCAGTTTTCGCAACAACATTCCCGTATTTTTTCCCCTCGTTTCACCACAGGTGTGGTTTGAATCCGGTGTTAGCGAGGACGCCATGAGTTGTCACATACAATTACTGTATCCCGGACGGACGCCATGTTTTGAATGTCTCCCTCCGCTTATCGTAGCCAGTGGTCTGGATGAAAAGACGCTTAAGCGTGAAGGCGTCTGTGCTGCCTCACTTCCCACCACAATGGGTTTGGTAGCCAGTTTGTTGGTTCAAAACTCATTGAAATGGCTGTTAAATTTTGGCGAGGTAAGTATTCCATCTCTCCAGGTAGCATTCTTTCGTTCTGTTTTTGTAATTCGTTCGTTACTGCGTAAGATATCTGTTGTGGACGACAGTCTCCTTAATGCCTTCTTATTACTGTGAACCCCGGTATGGATAGCCGATTGATAGCCTGGTGCGCTTGGCTGCACTTGGCCAAACCAGAAAAAGTCAGTGAACGTGCGAACCGACTGATTTATTTATCACTGTCATGTACAAGCGGTCAAAAACTGAAACTAAGAATACAACTCATCTGTCAAGGATGAGTGAAGAACAACCAATGAAATCTGCCTCAACGAAAACGGTTATCCCATTGGCTTGTATGTAGTCCCGTTACGTTCGGAGCTGGTTCTACCAATAATATTCAAGTGATTTTTACTCCAGCTAGTATGATCACCGCATTTGTAATTGGTTCGTTATACCCACACTGTTGCAGCGTCAAATGAACTTCCACATCAGTTTATGTAACTTTGGGGTATCAGCGGAACTTCCGCATCAGTTTATGTAACTTTGGGGTATCAGCTGAGATTCATTCATTACACCCTGGTACCACGCCGTTGCTGAGTATGCTCGTCTCTCAGCTGATTTCAAAACGAAAAGTATCGCCTTCATTTCAGCTATTTGTCAGAAAGTTTACACTCCAGCGGTGCGCGTTGCTCGACTGGATATCTGTCGCGTTCTGTGGCGTGCTTTCATAGTGTACTTTTAGAGAGTTTGGAAGAGCTGTTGCGCTGGCCTAATGTATTTCTCTATTGTTTCTAAGCCTAGATCGTGCAGGGCGTGGAATTGCGCGAAGCGGTGATCCATGTGCAGTTCTCAAGGATATTTTGTCGGTTCGTTTAATTTTTTCGGGCTTGCAAGTAGATGTGCTGAGGTTTCCGCGCCAAATACTCGGGATAGCGTAGTCATCATCATCATCAACTTCATGGATGTCGATATCGCACTAACAATATCTGGTGCTCAATTGCCAGATAACTATAGGGGAAGAAGCCTCTATGCCCTATGTAAAACTGTTAAGATGAACACAGCTGAGTGTTGCACCAAAGCAGGGCACAGTCAGTGAGATCTACTCACCATCGCTTGTCCCCCAACACACGCTCAACACCAAGATAGATGCCTGGGTAGTTTGACAAGCTGGCTACTCCGTTTCATGTCTTATGGGGGTTCCAACCACGCATGACAAAAAATCACGGGCATCCCACCAGGAAAGACGCGAAGAGCCCACGGAGCTCAACTTGACAGTATCCGCTTTCATTTTACGTTATCACCTCATGGTCTTCGTGAATCTTTCGTCAACATCAAATTGGAACGGAAAACACTATTTTCTCTCAGGCGTTGGTAACTGCGGGATTTAGCAGAATGCACACTCACTCTTCATGTCCTGGCGTAATCATTCTGGTCAGTCTGCACCAAGGGAAGGGAAGCAATGGACTCGAGTTTCGCTCTTCTTAGAGCTCATCAGCAGCGCATATCCAATGACCGTGCTGGGGTTCGAACTCCGCACATGTGACCTGCGAGTCGAGCGTTTTACCACTAGTCCACCAGCGCACGCTGCACGCATCTGAATTTTTACGTCTGAACATGTTGCGCTTGTATGGTGTGAGCGGAAGGCCCGACGCCCCGAACGATAATCCATACCTTGGTTGTGTCGATCGATCGGCCCAGTTAGGTAACCCCACAAACGCTTGAAACTTTCTGGACACTTTTGTTTCAGGTGTTGGTGGTTGGGGGATTTTGTAGTACATGCCCCTCAACCCGACAAGCCTTATATGCGGCTCAAGAGATTTCAATCCCTTACGTAGCGGTCAGTACCTTATGGCCACCTGTATACGGACATGCTGCAGGCTGCTACTATCTCGTCAGTCACGATCATTAATCGTAGACAGGTGAAAAGCGTTTAGTTCACTTCCCCTTGTTCTTGCACGATAATGCATTCCCACAGTTCGCAAACAAATGACGGGAGACACCTGAATCTCTCGTATATGTTCTTCAACTGAATTTGCTGCACCAGGCCTCCTCAATTGGTACGATATTCCAGGTATCGTAATACATTGTATGAACGTAACACGCTACTCGTGAGGCCACTGAAAACACATCGACTTGGTAGGATATTCGAGGTATCGTAATACATTGTATGAACGTAAGACGTTACTCGTGAGGCCACTGAAAACACATCGACAGCCCACAACCGGTTTTGCCCTTCTTGCGGCTCATCAGGTAGACGCAGTCCCCGAGTTTCCGTCAAACTTATGTTCTATTTGAGCTCCAATCGCACGAGATTCGACAATTTGTCTAAAGAATAGCCTACACGATAGGATTCGGTTGAGATTCAGGTGAGTTTACTGTGAAAACCAGATTGGCGTGCAAATGAGTGCGTCTGTCGAACTTCGTACAATTCGGGTTCCAATTTTGTTTCTACGTTACTTTCTCGATACTAATCTATCCAGTAAATCGACCGACCATAGTCACGTCTCATCACATCCAATGACAGTTGATAGTTCTTGGACTTGTCAGTAGTCCCTTATATTCCGTTTCTGTCTCGCAGGTTTCTAGCTACGTTGGCTACGGAGCGGCCAAGGATTCGTTTTACCGTGTTGACCTTCGACCAAATCCTCACTGTGCCGACAACTGGTGTTGTCGACGACAAGCCGAACGCAAGAAGCAGCTGGAATCGCTTGGACTTCCCGCTAACGGCGCTTGGAATGAGGAGAAGCTCCGGGAAGCTGCGATGAAACAACAGGCGGATGCAGCAACCGACAAGCCAAAACACGATGACAATGAATTTGAAATCGAGGTGGAATCCGATTCGGAACCATCGAACAGTCACCCCCAAGGCCAGCTGCTAGGAGAAGGGGTTCGGACTATTTACCAACCCAATGGGAAGAGCACAGATCCCTCAACGGACGAACAGTGTGTGGCCTCCACAGAAGAAAGCCTTGAGGCGCTGATGGCCAGAATGAAGCAGTTGTGATATATCGATTTTCCTCTTGATTTTCACATTCGTGGCTTTTTGTGGGGTCTATTTTTTTGTTGTCTTTGTACCTACTTTGCCTATGAAACATTTGGGAGATTTTGCATTCTCATTTTATGCCCTGGGATGATCACCTTATCGATTCGTCTGACCCCGATCAAAAAGTATCTGGTGGTGACGGTGTGATAGTTTGCTTCCACGCCTTTTTTCAACACGCTTCGGTAAGAAATCAGCTGATTGAGTGATCTTCCACTTTGGTGACCTTGAATCGGACATAAAATTAGATCACTCAGTCATAATGTGAGCTCAAAATTCGGATAAAACACACCGTGGAGTGAGAAGACCATACTTGAACTCTGAGGAAAATTAACAGACATTAGGTTGGCTGGAATGTGCAAGCGGCCCTTGAAAAGCGCTCAGTGGGATGAGGGGAAAATCTGACAACGTATGTCTGTATCGTTGGCACGAAAAATATACGGAAAAATTGGTCAATTTGGTTTGCTAACTCTTCCCTCCCCTTATGTGGAATGTGATCGATGGACGTTACGCACCCGTGATGGATGAAGGTGATCGATCTGTTCGAGGCATCGATCTGGTCATCCATTCAACTCAGAACGGATACCATAAACTAAAACCAGAATAACCCCAGCCTAGACTTTGATCATTCAGTTTCAAGTTGAATAGATCAACGGAGAGCGTGGAGAACTACTTGCGACCTCGACTGCTTCGTGTCGCTTCCGTGTGCACAGTCGTTGTTAGTCTGACGTGATAGAGGCAGAACCTGGAAATCGTTTGGAGAGAGTGATGAGGGATAACAGTGTTGTCTGCTGAGAAAAGACACATTGTGAATTGGAAAATCGACAGGTTCATTAGAACCCTTAACGCGGTATGTTTTCTCCAAGTATGCAGAGGACTCTATTCTACCGAAGCTTTCAACAGGGACTATGGTATGATTTCGTGGGATTGGCTAACTTTCCAGGAACATGCGGCTAATACTAGTCGTCAGCTGTGCCACCATTTCGGTGCCGAGCTGCCATGCCCACCGGAAGGAGACACGAGGGCTGAGAAACCGCCAGGTTGCCCAAGCCTAGGCAAGAGCAGTCGAGATGCCGATGCTGTAAATTCTCGCTTTAACCACTGAGCCATCTCGAGCTCACATGTGGCTAACTTGCGCTGACGCCCGATATGAACCACGAGTAAATAAGTAAGCTTTTCTGATGTTGCGGACTTGAAATTCAGGTATAGCTAGTGTGACGGATAATCCAACAACACTCTCATACGCCTCTCTCGGGGCATGATCGTGGAGAACTGGGCATGCGTTTTTACCAATACACTAATGGTTCCTCTGCGACGACTATGTGCGGAATATTACAGGCCGTTCGCTTCAAGAAGCGCGTCGTTCCTCGGGGTAAGACAACCTGGTCAACTGTTCATTATCCAGCGGAAATACTTTCTCCAAAACAGTCTGTCTTTCATCTCCGTTGTCCTTCATGAAATCTAATCACTTCCGTTCTCTACGCCTAGAAGAATGGGGCATAAATTCAAAGCTATCTTGCATCACTAGATGGTATACCACCTTCGTCAGAATCCTCTCTGTCGGCTCCATTTTTGTCTGAGAGTTCCACGGAACTTAAATGACAAAGCATGTACGATTAGGCAAAAAAAACCTGCCGATAGTCAAGTGATGTTTGAGCGCTAAACTCCTGAAGATTGACTCTCAATCGGTATACTCAGAGTGCGCAGCACGGCTGGCGATTCCACTCACGTTACGAAACCTCTGTCACACCAAACAAAATGTTCCAAGCGTCCCGGATCCATACAGTTGCGTCGAATAACAGAAACTGGTCAGGAAATTTATGCGAAATCGACTCACTCACCTGGATGAAAGTGGCTTCTGAGTTGCAGTTTGTTTTCACGAAATGAAGTAAGTAGAAGGATGTATTTGAAATCTGCACGTTACTGAATCGAACAGGTGGAAGAGCAATGCGGTTGCCTAACATCGTTGCAAACTTTATCTTTCTTATCGATCACTGACGTGCTGGTTTGTTGAAGCCTTTCTTGGACAGGCCGTTCGTCGCCTATACTTTACTGATGGCTCTCACGACAGTGTTCATGTAGCTGAGACACCTTGACTCGTATTTATGGACACTGTGCCGATAGCAACTGCGAAGTAGACGTGCCAAGATCACATCGTTTAGACAAACCCTCGATCAGCAGCATGGAGGCTTGCTTCGACCTTGTAGCGTCAGTCAGTGTGAACCCCTAAATTGCAGTTCGTGTTACCACAATTCCGAGGAGTGGTCTGGAAGTCTCACTGAGGAGGTGCTTTAGAGCAGGTCTTTTCAAATCGCACAAATATTATCAGCATTCATGTGCAGACCGATTTTGAATGATTTCCGGCGAATGGTGCGAACCGTAGACTTTCAATGTCGCAACCTGAGCCGAATCCCCCCAATTTCGTTTTGTCGTGTTGAGTTTTGAAATCGGCTTCAGGAGTAAGCAATCAACTCGACTCTTCAAGACGATGACTGTTGTTGACCGACCCTACGTAGTCACACAGGCCACATAAACGAAATCGTCACGCCTCCAATAGAGACTTTCAAAGGGTGGCGATTGGAAAATCTGTTCAGACGTTCGGTAGCGTTGTCAGCCGAATTTGTCGGTTCATCACGATGCTCGTTATCTTGAAGCAGTACTTGCAGAAAATGACCGCTACACGAACCATGACACTCACTTTTAGATGACCCTTGTTCGAGACCTAATCCTACCAGGCCATCGATTGATTACGTACCCAAGGTACGCAGATTCTACCTTTTTCTGTTTGCCAGAACGGAACCCTTGACAGCCTGGCCCGTTGTTGTCGAACACAACAGCCTTCAGTGTGAATAAACAACCGTCAACATATCATGACAGTGCCATTTTATTCGTCCTATTCTCACCTTCTGCTTGTGGACAGAATTACAGCGGCGTCATTTTCAAATCGACCGACCACTTGTTTAGAACATGTGAATATCTTTCCGGTACTACTCTCGGATGAGTCCGTCGGATCTTTTCCAGATAAGCCCGGCCATTAATGCAAGAAGTGTACGTGCGAAAAGTTAAGCCCCGCCACTTTTTGTCAGCTCCAATTAAATATGCGCCCATAACCTTGACCTATTTTTGCCGAAAACAATTCCTTATCCACATCTAGGCTCATTTTGTGCAAAAATTTTCTCCTTTCGGACGTAAAACCTTAAATGAACTTTCTGACGCTTTAAACTCTCGTTAATTACATGGAGACGGCAATACGTTTTTTGCAAAGCCACGGAGTGATCCATCAGCAACCTTTATGCAACAATGGCCACCAAATGGCACTTTCAACTGTTTCTGACAGATGGAGGTGTAATGCCCGACAGTGTTGGCAAGAAATCGGTCTTCGAAAGGGAACTTG